ATCAAATAGAGGCTTGAAGCTACAACCTAAATAAATCAGATCAAAGAAACTGCTGATGGCTTGGAAGAAAGACAGATAAGTTATCCTGATTGTCTCCGTATCCTATATCTGCCAGACCATTACATGCAGAAATATTATGGCATTGTATAGATTTTGAAAATGTTTTCTTTGCACAAAGAAAAGGGTCCATGTAGGCACTGGTTTTCACAGATACCTGCCTCTTCTCCAAACAGAAGCTCTGCAAGTGTGACTTTTGTTAAGGAAGGGGCTTGGGAAGTATGCTTCTCATTTTGTCAGGATTTGGAGAAACGAACTTAGGAAATGCTTTTTGTCCGATTTACCTCCATCCTGACAGTAATTAGTAAGGACTGCATGTTCAAAGTATACCCTTATTTGACACTCCCCCCATTCCCTTACGCCCCTTCATTCCATGAGAAATATAGGGCTTCTTGCCATCATATTTCTATTTTGTATTTACAAAGGAGGAATGAACTAGCTGTAGTCAAATAAAGCCTGAGCATCTCTTGACATCCTTTTTCCTGTTCTGGTGTTTCATATTGACATATTATGGCACCTGGGAATAACGTGGAACAACCTCACTGGTTTTTCTTATCATCGTTGCTGTTTAATGTTTATTTAGCACCCACATGGGTTGTCCAGATTGGGCCATCTCATTGCCTCTCAGCCCAGTCTACTGCAAGCGAAGGGAATTAGCTAATTCACTTCCCTAGAGCTCGGTGATGAATAAGTAAGAAATAGCTGAGCAGATAGCAAATGTAGGTCGTCACTGTCAAGGCAGAATGGTGGCATCTTCCTTCTGCCACTAGGAGCAAGATGGCTCTAGAGCCACACCATGCAAGGAAGCCAGGGCGGCTGTGGAGCTGAGTTTTCTGTTACTGAGTAGAAGAATCTAGACTTTTAGGGACCAGTCATGTTGCTTCATGATGTCTGGATTCTTCTGGTCAAACAGCAGAACAAGAATGCCTTCTCCTTTTGTTTGTGTTTTTCTTTTCTAAAAGAAGCAACATGGCATTATGATAATACTAATGCTAATAAGAGACAGCAGTATAAAATAGTAGTACTTTATGGTTTGCAAAACATATTACATATATTCTCTCGCTGGATCTTATTTTAATTGGGGTCACTAGTTGTCTATACACATACAGATGTGTGTATGTATATGCTGCCTTATACAGTCATTCTATGTCTGTTTTTATTTTTTTTGTGGTTTTTTGGGGGTTTTTTTAGGCAATTGGGGTTAAGTGACTTGCCCAGGGTCACACAGCTAGTAAGTGTTAAGTGTTCGGTCTGAGGCCGGATTTGAACTCAGGTTCTCCTGACTTCAGAACAGGTGCTCTATCCACTGCACCACCTAGCTGCCCCTGTCTGTATTTAGTCTGTCTATATAGGTCCATATGTCTGTCTTTATATACATGTTTGTGTCTCTGTACTTGTCTATTTGTGTGTGTATACATATATACATACGTGTATATATGTTGCTTAAAAATAATGTTCATCAAATTTTGTAAAAATGAGTGCAAAGTAATTGGAAAAAAGGCTAAAATACTATTGAAACGGTGGCATTAGGAAGTAAAGACAATCCATCAGAAAAAAAAAAAATAAATGTAGTTCAGATTTTCCTGCTTGGCATTGGAGACTTTCTTTAAACTGTAAGTACTCTGCCTTTCAAGCTTTATCTCCTATAACTCCTCCCGAGCACATTTACTCCAGCAGAACCAGGCAGTTCCATGGCTGCTGAACACCCTGCCACCTTGGCTTCGTTTGCTCACGCTGTCCCCCTCTGCCTAGTATGCCTTCCCTCTCCCTCTTTGCCTGTTGAATCCCTACATGCCCTCTGGAGTCCAGCTTAAGTATCGCCTCTGGGATGATGCAAGGAAACCTCTGATTTGCCAGCAGGAAATGATCTCTCTGTCCCCTGTGTGTTTTATCACTGTGGAATGAACGTGTGTGTGAGCATGTACGTGTGTTTCCTCATCTAAGATGGGTTTCCTCATCTAAGACTCTGCAGTCACAAAGTTACAAAAAATCATCCAGTCTAACCTCTTCATTTTATAGGTTGAGAAAACTAATGTACATAGAGGTTAAATGATTTTTCAAGGTCATGGAATAAAATATTATAAAACATAATTCTGGAACTTAGACCTCCTAATTCTAAGCCCCAGGATACTTTGTACTACTCCAAACCAGAAAGACTTCTGGGTATCACATAATTCTGTACTTCCATATCAATACCATCAATCAGATACCATGAGGTTACATAATTGGGTATTTATTATTTTAATGATTATTCTCTTAAGTTGTCAAGACAATGGCGTTGCATATATTGTGGAAACAGGTTATGTGGGTCATAATTTACAAACTCTTTATGAAGTTTGCATGACACATACCACTCTTCCTTCCATCATTTAGAGAAATCAGACAGTTCATCTTACCTTCAATTTGTTTGTTTCTTTATTTATAATGTTTTGTTGATGCTTTTTGGACTTTATAGCCCAGCCATTTTCTGATACAATAATAATGATAACTAACATTTACATAATGCTTACTATGTGCCAACCACCATACTGAATACAAATCTTTTCTCATTTGATACTCACAACCACCCTGGGTGATGGGTACCATAACTGTCCCCATTTTACCAGTGAGAAAATTGGGGCAAACAGAGCTTAAGTTACTCACCCAGGGTCACACGGCTAGTGAGTATCTGAGGGCAGATTTGAACTGAGGTCTTCTTGACTCTAGATGCAAGGCTCTATCTACTGCGCCCCCTAACTGCCCCTGGAACCCTCATTATAACAAGGAAAAACATGTAAAACTGACCAACAAAGCCAGCACATCTGACAACCTAAGCAACACTCTGCCCCATAGCCTCGCAGCTCTCTACCTAGAAGGGGTTGTAGTGTTTCATCATCTGTTTTCTGGAACCAAGATTGATCATTGCAGTTAATCTGAATTCAATTGCTATTTTGTGTTGTTTTCATTCATATGATTGTAATCATTGTATATAGTTATCCTGGTTCTACTTTCTTCAGTCTGAATCAGTTCATGCAAGTCTTCCTAGGTTAAGCTGATGCCTTCCTCATACTGGTTCTTTCTTATGATAAACTGATATCTCATTACGATCACGTACCACAATTTGTCCAACCATTCCCCAATGAACAAAATATTTGTTCTTTCTTCTCTCTCTCTCTCTCTCTCTCTCTCTCTCTCTATATATATATATATATATATATATATATATATATATATATATATGTATGTGTGTGTGTGTGTTAATAGTTTATGTTTCTTTTAAAAATGTATTTCTTTTGATCACTCTTCGATTGAAAACTTAATATTAGCTTTATATATTTGTTTCAATTCTTTATCCATGCTAGATATCAGACTTTTGCCAAAGGTATTTGATGCACAGATTTTTATTTTCCAATATTCTTATTCTTCTTGAATTCATTTTGTTTATGTAAAAGTTTTTAATTTTCTGTAATAAAAATGGTCTCTTTTTTTCTGATCCACCTCTCTTTCTTGTTTGCTTAAGGATTCTCCGCTTGATCATAGATCTAACAGTTAACTTTCCATTATCTTCTAAAATTTATGATGATATGACCTGTTACATTGAAGTCACATTCACTGTTTGAAGTTTATTGTAATATGTGATACAAGATACTATTCTAAACTGCTGTTGAGTTTTCCCGGTGTTTCTTATTGAATAGTTTCCTATTTTTGGATTTGCTAACACTGAGATGCCTTAGTTCAGTTGTTTCTGGGTTTGTTTCACTGATTCACTCTTCTACTTTTTAGCTGCTCTCAATGGTTACTGCTTTATATTTAGTACTTTTAGGGAACCTGCATTACTGCCTTCATTATTTTCCTGGACTCTTGACTTTTTGTCCTTCCAAATGAATTCTATTGTTATTTTTCCTAGTTCTATAAAGTAAGCCTTTGGCAGTTTGATTGGCAGCACTAAATCACCGTTTCTGCTAAAGTGGCACGACCCAATCACGAGTAATGAGTCTCTCCAGTTATTTAATTGTATTATTTACCTTTCTTGCATTATCTCATACTACTGCTTCCAAGTATTCTATACCTCCAGCAAACCTAGACAAATCATTTAAACAGCAGGTGAAGGCCTCTCATCCCCTGAGGTAAATTAGACTAATAAAAGCCTTCGTTTTTGTGTAGTATTTACATTTAGATCACCTTCTCTGGTCCTTACAACCACCCTATAGCGTATCCAGGGTAGATATTAGAATCTCTATTTTACAGGTAAGAATTGTAAAGCCCAGGGGCAGCTAGGTGACGCAGTTCATAGAGCACTGGCCCTGGATTCAGGAGGACCTGAGTTCAAATCCAGCCTCAGACTCATAGCACTTACTAGCTGTGTGACCCTGGGCAAGTCACTTAACCCCATTGCCTAGCCAAAAATATAAATAAACAATTGTAAAGCCCAAAGTGCTTAAGCACAGTGCCTGGCACGTAATAGGCCCAATAGAAATGCTTATTCCCTTCCTTTCTCCTTCCAAGAGAAGATATGTGATTTTCCCCAATGGTGCACATTTATAATAGGCATGGATGAGATTTAAATCTAGGTCCTTCTGACTCCCAGGTTTACTGCTTATCCCAACTCTGCCACTAACTAGCTGTGTGACCTAGGGAAAGTCATTTAACTTGTCTGAGCCTCAGGTTTGTCACTTGTTAAATGGGATGGACTAGCTCATCACAAGGTTCTCAGTTCCAAAATTCTAAATTTCTATGAAGAAAAAGGTCTTTGCAAAAGCAACATATAAAAAAGAGCAAATGAACTTGGCTACCATAAGGTCAAAGCCCTCCCCTCTTACATATCACTCTACTCTACTTGTCCCCACCCCCGAAAAAACACTTATGCAATTTGGGATAATAACTGGAGAGAAAACATTAGAAAACACAGCCTCTGAGTATGCACCATTGTGTTCATGGAATGTCCTGGTCTTTTGTTTCCCCAGGCTATCAATGTACCTGTCTCTCACAATTCACTGGAAGGAACTGTGAGTCAGAGATTACAGCCTGCTTCCCAAATCCCTGCCGAAATGGGGGGTCTTGCGACCCAATAGGAAACACCTTCATCTGCAATTGTAAAGTTGGGCTTACTGGAGTCACGTAAGTGAATCATCCTTGGTCCAGCTACTGTCAGCTATTTAGATGCTAGGACATGCCTCAGGAAAACCTGCCGTCTAATTCTCTAGGGCCTGCAAATTGCTAGCAACAATAATAACCATAGCTGGTATTTCTATGGGACTGTAAGATTGGCAAGACCCTTTATACACCTGACCCCATTTGATTCTTGCAGCAATTCTGTGGGGTAGGTGACTTGTCACTTAGCATCTGAGATGTCTAGCCCAAAACAATCATTCCTCATTCATTCATACTCCCAATTATTGGGACTTGGTGGCCATTTGGATAAAAGCAGAAGTTGAGCTTAAATTATTTTTTTCCAGAGATGGTACAAATGAATAGCATGACCATATTGAAATAGGATGCTCAAAATATTTGAGGCAGTGTGATGTAGTGGAAAGACCTCTGGATCTGTATCAGGAAACCTCATTCAAATCCAAGCTCTGACATTGTGTGTAACCATGGCGAGTTATTGAAGTTCTCTTAGCCGCAATGTATTCACTTCTAAAATGAAGATCACCACCAACCTTAGACGTCTGTTGTAAAGAAAGTGCCTTGTAAACCTTAAAGTTATATAAAAGTGTGAATTATTTTTATCATTATTATTATTATTATAAGTACAAACCACCTCGAAATCTCCTTGATCATTCTTAAGCATCCATGTATATATAGATAACTTATATTCTAATTATAAACCATTCTTTTCTAGTCATTACAACACACCCCTGAGGACATATACTAGATAGCTCTCTGTTGGCCTACTTTGAATTTCTATGTGGAATTTGCTGTATATAATGTAATTAAAGCAATCAAATTACATTTCTTGTCATATTTCTATGATTCCAGTTCCTTACTAATTCAGATTGGCCTTTCTTCCATTTGAGCCCTGTTAGTAAAATTTTACTATACAATGTTGATTTTACCAAAAACCTTAGGGGATCAAACCTTTCATATAAATACATAACATTTGCTAAAGTGAGCAAAATAGTAAAATGGAGGGAGAAGGCATATATCCTGATAAACTAAAAATGAGCAGTCCACTTATCAGAATATGTATATATTCTGTCTTCTAATAGGGTTATAAGTTCCTTGAAAGCAGAGACTGTTTCTTTTCTGTCTTTAGATCTCTAGAGCCTAACATGGTGCCTTGCACCACGTGATACATGCTTAATAAATGTTTGTTGAGTTTAATTTTATGTTTGCTTAAGAATTATATCAAGGCAGGCATTAATATGGCCCGTATTACATGAAAAAAAAAATTCACACAATTACTTGAACAAAATTGTTTCCTTCAGAAATTTTCCCATCCTTTGAGTGTTTTGGAAAAGGGGGTTATTAAAGATGAAGAGGGAGGTGACTTTAGTGTGTGTTTAAAACTTCTGATGTGTTAGTCCCCCATAGTCACTGTATTTGGGGGGGGGGGTTATTTTCCTATGTTCCTAAAGGTGTGAGGAAGACATCAATGAATGCGACAGAGAAGAATGTGAGAATGGAGGTTCCTGCGTCAATGTGTTCGGCTCTTTCCTTTGTAATTGCACCCCAGGTTATGTGGGCCAGTACTGTGGGCTCCGGCCAGTGGTGGTTCCCAACATCCAAGCTGGCCACTCCTACGTTGGAAAGGAAGAACTGATTGGCATTGCCGTGGTCCTCTTTGTCATCTTTGTTTTAATTGTCTTGTTCATCGTCTTCCGCAAGAAAGTCTTCCACAAGAACTATTCCAGGAACAATATCACTCTCGTCCAGGACCCGGCCACTGCAGCGCTACTAAACAAAAGCAATGGGCTTCAGTTCAAGAACCTACGAGGGGGTGGGGACAGCCGTAACATCTACCAGGAGGTTGGCCCACCCCAGGTCCCTGTGCGCCCCATGGCCTACACGCCTTGTTTTCAGAGCGACTCTAGGAACAACCTAGACAAGATTGTGGATGGGCTAGGGGTGGAGCACCAGGAGATGACCACTTTTCATCCCGAGTCACCGCGGATATTAACTGCCAGGCGTGGAGTGGTCGTGTGCAGCGTGGCTCCCAACCTCCCAGCTGTCTCCCCTTGTCGTTCTGATTGTGATTCCATCAGGAAGAGTGTCTGGGATGCAGGAACAGAGAGTGAGTGGGAGCTGGTGGTGGTGGAAGTGTTTGTGGGTGGTGGGCAGCTTCCTTCCAAATCCCAGAATCAAAAAAGAGAGAGAACTTTAGAAAGTTCATCCCTGCCCTTTCACTACGAGGTTATCACACAGATAATAAATGACAAAGCCTGGATTTGAACGCAAGTCTTATGGTTCTAAGTCCAGAGTTGTTGTTTTTTGGGGATTTTTTCCCATTGGCACCAGCCTATCTCTGCCTTCTTTTAGCTTACAAATAAATAAGAAGCTACATTTTGCACACTGAACATAATTTAATCTTTTCTTGGTGAAGCCTGATCATCACTATGATGCCATGGATATGCCTGGGATATACATCCTCAGGGTCACTGATATGGGTCACAAATATTTAAACCCTTAAGGAGAGGGGCATGATCCATAGTCCAAGGGTTGAGCTAGTGTCTGGAATGTCATATTGGCTCCAATTAGGCATCCAGGTAAATGGACAATAAATCAGTCAGAAAGATGGTTGAAGATAAACCTTGAGTCATACATCATTACAGTGGGTTTTCTTTTTCCCAATTCTGATTCTAATTTCACGATATGTGACCAATTTTAAATGACAAATCAGTGTAACAGTTTAGTAGGTCCACTTACTTGTTTTGCCTGCTATAGATAGCATTTTCTTAACTGCAGGCCTGTGGTTCTCCGTGCCACTGAAAAGTAACCTTTTTGGCTTAGTGAGTTCTACGTTCATCCATGTATGCTAAATACATGCTGCTGCATTTGTTCCCCTGCTCAAATGTTTCTTTTTTCCTTCTCTCTCAGATCAGGAAGTGGAACAGAGAGGCCAGTAAGGATTTATTCTAATCCAATTCACTTTAATATTTATTAGGCACCTGCCATGTATGTGTAAGTCATGGTGCTCCGTGGGTTCAGTTATCATCTCTGTGCTGATAATTCTCCAATCTACTTATCCAGCTCCACCCTCTCTCTTGACCTTAAGTTGTACATTTTCATTTGCCTAGTGGGCATCTTGAACCAGGCCTCCCATAAACATCAGAAACTCACCATGTCCAAAACCAAACTCATTACTTTTCCTCCAAAGCCTCCTGTCTCTGAAGTTTCCAATGACTGTCAAGGGCACCACCATCTTCCTTGTCCCCCAGGCTCACACCTAGGTGTCATCTTTGACTCTCTCTCTCTCTCTCTCTCTCTCTCTCTACCCCCCACCCCCATGTCCAATCTGTTATCACGGCTCATCCAGGATAAAATATAAAATCCTGTTTAGCAGGCAAAACTATTCACAACCTGCCCTCCCCGCCATCTTTCCAGTCTTCTTATAAGTTACCCCCCGCTTTGGGTCAATGACACTGCCTTTCTTGCTGTCCCTCACAGAAGATACTCCAATCTCACAATTCCAAGTGTTTTCTTTTGGGGGGGAGGAGTTAATTTTTGGGGGGGTAAGCAGTGGGGTTAAGTTACTTGCCCAGGTCACACAGCTAGTAAGTGTTATGTGTCTGAGGCTGGATTTAAACTCAGGTCCTCCTGAATTCAGGGCCAGTGCTCTATCCACTTTGCCACCTAACTGCCCCCAGGAGTTAATTTTTTAATTTTTTTTTCTCTCAAATTACATGTAAACAAAAATTTTTAACATTCTTTTTTTTAAATGTTGAGTTCCAAATTTTCTCCCTCCTCTCCTTTCTCCTTAATAAAATGGGTAATTTGATATAGATTATATATGTTTAGTCATGTAAAACATTTCCACATTAGCTGTATTGCAAAATAAAACACAGACTAAAAAAAAAAAGAATAATAAAGTTTTTTTTAAAGTATTCTTCAATCTGCATTTAGACTCCATCAGTTCTTTCTCTGGAGGTGGATAGCATTTTTCATCATAAGTCCTTAGGAATTGTCTGCTCTAAGGGTTTTCAGTGGCTGTCCCTGTGCCTGGAATTCCCTCCATACTCATGTCCACCTCTCAACTTCCCTGTCTTCCTTCAAGTCCTTGCTAAAATCCTACCTTGAAACCATTCAAGATCCCCTTTAATCCTAGTGCCTTCCTTCTGTTGATTATCTCTAACTGATCAGATAGATACTCATATTTGTACATAGTTGTTTGCATCCTATCTCCCTCGCTAGACTGGGAGCTCTTTGAGGGCAGGAACTATCTTTAGTCCTTCCTTGTATCAAGATTAGAACAGTGCATGACTAACTTCTGGGAATTCAAAGGTAAATCTATATAATCCCTTTACTCAAGGATCTCTCAGTCTAAAAGTGGAACAAGGCCTACATGTAAATAATAACAGTTTGATTTGTTTTACAGTTAAGTACATAAGAAAGGCAGGTATTCACAAAGGCCTGTGGGAAGTCCAAAGCCAGAAGATGAGATGAAGTCAGGCTGCAGCACTGTGTTAAGCCATGACTTAAATCAGTCAAAACTGTGTGGTGTAGTACCACGGCTGGTGTCACGTGGATCGTGAGGCTCCAGGAGTTTGTGTTAAATTAATTCAGTTTGGGGGTACAGGGGAACCTCCTATATTGTTATTTCTGCAACTAGACTGCACTGCCCTCACCCTCAGGACTCTCTGTGTTCCTCTTTATGGTAAAAGTAAACCTTGTATACAGCCTGCCCTTGTCAAAAACAGAGCTTAGGGGGTTTTGGCTTTGTTTTGTTTTGTTTTTCAAAATATGACTTCCTCCCTGGTGTTTCTTTGCTTTTATATTAGTAATTAATCCTACACCGCATCTTACTTGAGGTTTGTCTAATTGACAACAGATGCAGAAAAGCAATGCCTTCTGTAGGGACATAGCCCTTTCTGTCAGGAAACACTAATTCCTGTGGCCAGGAAGAAGAGTGGCTGTTCCTTTTATCCCAAGCCTGTGTCTCTGTGTACCATTACATAGTGCGATGATTTAAATCTTTTTCTGATGATCATTTCTTTTCCTTCTTTAATGTGACAGGTTTATTTCCGAAATACACCTCAGGCCAAAACTCAGATTTCCCCCCAAAGTATTGTTGAGTTTTTATTTAATGCATTGACTTCTTTGTTAAGGGTGGTAGAGTGTGCTGGGAAGACATTCTCTAAGTGGCCAATTCATTTTTCAGATGATGACAAGCTCAAGATATAGGTCGCTTTTATGGACTATTGTAGTCCATCAAATAATAAAATGACCCTGTGGTGTTTGTGCATCTGTGTGCCTGGGATAAATTTGTACCTAAAGGAATAAGAGAGTGTGGGGATCCAGAAAGCATTTCTACCCCAGGCTTTCCCTCTAACAGCACAATTTTATGAGAATTCTGTAATTACTAAATTTGGTGCTACGCTGCCCTCTAGAGGCCAAGCTGAAAATCCCACTCTATCTGTTGACTGAAGTTTGAACAAATGTCATGGCACTCTTGCCTATAAAATATTTATACCCCCCATTTTAAAAGCAATCTTGTTTAACCTACTGTTGACACCACATCAGTTCATGTAAATGATTTAAATGAACGCTGAATGGCAAAGAGCAAGCCAGCTGCTTTACTCCAGTCTCAGTCTTCACTTAACTATCCTACTTTGAGGACAGAACATCCACTTTTGCCTGTCAGCTATTTGAAAGCTCATTTACCCTGGGTTAAGGGTTTCAGATCCATAATGCAAATCACTTGATTGACAGACCTTTGTACCCAATGGCACAATCAATTTTCTCCTTTGGAATCAAATTATTTCTCTGACCAAATGAAAAAAGGAGAGGGGGGTTGGGAAAGAACCTGAAAAATAAAAATGAGCTCTGGGAGTGGCGGGAATGGATATATGTACAAAATGAGCCACTTTCCATTTTTGTTTTATGTTTTCCTGTCAATGAAGACAAAGGAGTGGATGATGCCGAAGAAGTGACCTGTTTTGTGGGAAGTAACAAAGGCAGCAACTCGGAAGTTCAGTCCCTCAGCTCCTTCCAGTCTGACTCTGGAGATGATAATGGTAAGAAATCTTCAAATTCAGTTCTTGGAACTCTAAGAGAATGGATTTTAACCCTGCAGCTGTCCTTAGATCCCCACCAATGGACTGCTTGGAGGAAGAGGGGTCTGCCTCTTTGGTAGTTAGTGAGAAGCCTTCTTGGCTAGGATCCAAAATGGACCTGCCTCCTAGCACATTGTCCTCTTTCCTAGGTAGTGGAATTGGCTTTCTTCTTCTTTTATTGATATGCTCTTCCCCCCCTTCATCATGCATTTTGCCTTCTTCATTTAGTTTCATTCTTAGGCAAAGCCTGCTTACCATGATCCCCTCGAAGATGGGCTTTTCTGTAGTGAGAAACCTATTCATTTGATAACTGGGCCAAGACCATCTCCACATTCCACACAGAATCCCAAGGCACTGTCAACTGGAGAAGCACTAATTTAGACAAATTGATTTCAATTCAGTGACTTATCGAGGCCCTCCTACATGAATATTCTTCCTAGATATAAAGACAAAAGATAAATAGAACATAACTCCTGCCCTCAGGGAGAAAGTTGGGGAATGTAAGAGCCATACAGACAAACATAATATGAAGTATAACATACAGGTCCATGAGAAGCATCAGAGTTCAAAAGAAGGAGCTCTCACATATCCCTAAAGGGATAGGTTCCCTGAGCTGTGTGAAGGATGGTAGAGACTTGGAAAACATGTTTTGTTTTCTTTCCCATGGAAAGAAGAAAGTGGGATAAGATAAGACCTCATAAAAGCATTTATTAGAAGGAATTTGTTCTTTGTCTTTTCAATGGGGAAGCTGGAGGGAAAGAAAATGTATCTTTTTTGTTCATTGAAAACAAAATAAAATTAAAAACGTTTCACAAAAGCATTTTACCATATAGTAAGTAGATTGAGAATCATACAAAAGAGGCTTGGAATGTTCTTCTCCAGCTATTATACTACTTCCCCAGCGACTATAGATCTGTAGAGACAGCATATTCAACATGATGAACTCATATTGAGACAAGAAGTATGTTTCCCCAGGCCTTAAGATAAGCTGAAAGTCTAAAAACCCAACTCAGACCTTCAACAACAGCCCAGCTGCTGCCATTAGAAGGGTGTGCCCAGCATGACTATTGTGGTAATATGTTTTGTATGATTGAACATGTATAACCTGTAACAAATTGCTTGCCATGTCAGTGAAGAGGGAGCTAATGAAGGGAAAGAGAAAATTTGGAGCTCAAAATTTTTTTTTTAAAAATGAATGTTAATGATCTTTACGTGTAATTGAGGAAAAAATAAAATATTATTTAAAAAAAAAAGAATTGTGTGTCCCACATGACACTACAGCTTGGGAACTGTGTAAAAACCCCCAAGGTACTTGAGTTCCTGTGACAAGCTGTGTTATAATGGGGCACTTGCTCTTATGTTGGTACAATGAGTCATAGCCAAGTTTGGTTTTTAAGGGGTTTAAGCACCTCCCCTGGCTTAAACGATTAAATTAACGGCAAAGAGTAAGTCAGCTGCTTTACTCCAGTCTCACTCTTTGCTTAGCTGTACTACTTTGAGGATGGAGCATCCATTTTTGGCTGCCAGATATTTGGAAACATCACCCCAGCTGTAGGAAAAGGATGTTTTATATAGTATCTAGGACTAATTCTAGAATTGATACTCCATGCACCACTATTGCTAAGAACATCCCAATGGCATTTGGGATGCCATTGACAATCCCCACCCTCCACCATCCCTACCCAGCCAGTAATTTTCAGGATGACTTGCAACTTACAAGCAGTTCATCATATGATGCTTAACCATGTGAATCCCATTGAATAAAAAAGACAGCTATGCTTAAGAAAGAGAAAGGTATTCCATGAGGAGGGGATATCAGTTCTGATGTTGATCCTGAATGTTCTAAATAGTCAGAGTATCTTTTTCTCAATGCTGAGATGAGGTGATAAGGGTGGCCAAGATGGTGCTTATTTACCATCAATTTTGAATGAGGGAAGGCCAACTCCTTTAACAGAAAGTCACCTCAATCTAGTCCCATGACTAATTGCTAACCACTTTCCAGAACGGATTGTTTTGGTTAGACAAACGAGGAAGGAGCAAGTTATCATCATCCTGCCTCCAACTCTAAATAGCTACAAGGCAACATCCAAGGATAGCTAAGCATGCAGCCTCTTTATACCACCCCTGGTTTAGCTCAGCCAGGCAAAGAAAATATGGCCATCTCTTCATGGTACATTTAGTCTCTCAAAATAAAACATTCTCATTCCATTCTGAATTCTGTAAGGTACGGTCCCTTAGAGTTTTGGGGAAATGGACTCTCAACTTAGTCATATCAACAGAAAGCACTTGTGATAACTATAAACCATAGCTATTTCCTTCCCTGATTCTAATCATTATAAAGGCCAGACATCTCCCGTTATTATCACAGAAGGTACTGGCATATGAGCAAAGCAGTTGACTTTAAGAGATTAAGGCTCCTTTATAAGTATCTTGACTGATTCAGATAGGACCACCTAACAAATAATTGCTTTCTTCCAGGATTCATTAGAGTTACTAAAGAGGAATTAGTATGAAGTAGCAGAGGTGCTAGCTTCTTAAATTTATTTAGCTGGTCTAGCCAATGTAAATTCACAACATGTATTCACTGGTGAGTGAGAGCAGACAGTGTGGTGTAGTGAGAACTGACCTTGGTATTAGTTCAAGCCCACTTCTGACACGTACTGGCTGTGTGACCCTGGGCAAGACGTTCACCTCTTGGCACCCCAGACAACTCTAAAACTATAAATTGAAAAGTATTTTTGTATCTGCAGTGCTCAAGAGTGTTTCCTTACTAAAAGTTCCCTACTCTGACAAAGTCACAGATCTTGTCCAAAAGGAAAGTCATTGGTTATAGGGCCTTTTGGTAGGTTTAAACTGGCCTAAAATTTGTCATTATTTTCCATTCAATCTAAAAATCAGTGTTACCCAAAATAAGGTGTCCATTGAAACACTGCCTTAATGAATTGTGTAGAACCTTTGATTTTGTTTGTATAGTATAATATAATAAAATGTGAATATATGTATATATATATATATATATGTATGTATATTGGTAAGAGAAAGTAATACATGTTTAAAATATTAACCAAAAGCTATCCTTTCCCTCCCTTGTCTGCTTTCCCTCTCCCGCAAGCTTCCATAGTGACTGTCATTCAGCTTGTCAACAATGTAGTTGACACTATAGAAAATGAAGGTATTTACATTTTTTTTCTGTAACATTTCTTCTTTATCAAGTTACCTTTCTTTCAAATTTAGTAACCCCTCATTACTTTGGATTAGACCCAGTGTCACTGGTTAAGGACAGAATGAGGCATGAGAGAGCATTGGCTCCAAGGGGTCGTTAGTTTCATGCCATTCATTGGTATTGGCTTTTTAAAAGGATTCCTTCAGGACAGTTTTTAAGTGTTTTTCAAAAGAAAGTGAAGTTCGTGACCTGAAATATTCTCTATGTTCCCTATATATGAGTACTTTCTTTGAAAAGAATACCTAATCAGTGTGATTCTGCATCTATATTTAAACCCTGGGACCAAACGGTAAAGTTTCCAATGTTTCATACTGCTGGAGCATGCCTATAATAAACTTTAGGGATGCAACCTGGTTTTTATTTCTTTTCCTTAAATTCAGTCAGCAGTTTGTGGTGCCTTTAATAGAAATTAAGTTAGTAAATTAGTTGTTTGCTTTCTCACTTTGAACGTTGTTGAGAAAGAGCTGGTCTCAGAGTCTGATAGAAGGCGGGCCTCAAAACCAGTAAGACCTGAGTTTGAGTGTTACCTCTGATATATACTGGCTACATGCTATAGACAGCTCTTAAAAACTCTAAGTTACAGAATTTGCATTGGTAGAGAGAGTTACCTTACCAGTAGTTCCCCAAACCAATGAAATCACAGGCCCATACCAAAATGCAAAATTTGGGGCAATTACCTCAAAAAAGTAAATGATGAAGTGGGACTTAGCAGAATTCCCCTTTCCCCCAGGAAAGTTGGTTGAAAGCGTACTTATCTGTTTCGGGGACTCGTCCCCTAGGTATAATGGGAGGGAATAGCCTGTACCAGGGAGCTCTTCATGCCCTTCAGGACTGGGTGATGGTGACGACCATCTCCCTTGTTTGTTGCATAGCAGTGAAAAGCAATGCTGTAGGCCGCTAGAGCCCCTCTGTGTTGTTGAAACATGTCCTCTCTAATCTCCCAGTGTTGTGTGGCTGGGGTTGTCAGCATTACTCTTTGCTTTGTGTTTAAACAGTGTCAGTTATGGACCAAGGACAGAACTACAATCGAGGTGACTCCCCCCAGACCCCAGCTAACCCTTCTGTTCCATGATCTTGTTTTGCTGCCTTTATTCTCCTTCTCCTTCCCCCGCTACCCTTTCTGAGTGTTTCGTCAGCAGTCTGCATGTTCCAGGCACCACACGGGTTAAGTTTTGAGGGGACCTCCTCCCACCAGCATCTCCTTCCAGGTCCCTCTACCATGGCATTGCCTAAGCCATCCATTTTCCTCTGCGTCTCCTTGCCTTCCAATCCCAGAACACAGTCCCCCCAAGCCTGCCTTCGCAAGCATGCTGAAAGCTTTGATTTCCACATGGTATGTGGGGGTGGAAAGAGGGATTTGGGGATAGGAGGTCTTTCATACACTGTAGACTCCTAAAACTTTCTTCCCTCATCTTGTTCATGGTCTGGCTGAGTAGAAAAAGGGGAGCACATAATACACTTGAGCATCATCACATAAAGTGGCCGTCTGTCTTGTCCTCCGGTCAAAGCATGGCTGACCTTCCATTAATGCCTTGTAAACAGCATGTGGATGATACTGGCTTCGTGGGGCCTCCTGGTGGTGAAGGCGTGCATGTGACGCCCTTCCCATCCTGCTCCTGCCCCAACTCACTTCCCAGACCCAAGGAGATTAATTAGGATCGCTTTCTCTTTTACAGCCTACCATTGGGACACTTCGGACTGGATGCCAGGAGCCCGCCTGTCTGACATCGAGGAAGTGCCCAACTATGAGAACACAGATGGCGCATCAGTGCATCAGGGGAGCACGAGAGAGCTTGAGACCGATTACTACCTAGGTGGCTATGATATCGATAGCGAATACCCTCCACCTCACGAAGAGGAGTTTTTGAGTCAAGACCAGTTGCCCCCTCCTCTGCCAGAGGACTACCCAGACCACTTTGAGGCCCTGCCCCCATCACAGCCAGCCTCCTTGGCCAGCACACTGAGCCCAGACTGCAGGCGAAGGCCACAGTTCCACCCTAGCCAGTATCTCCCTCCCCACCCATTCCCCAATGAGACAGACGTGGTGGGACCTCCGCCTGGACATGAATTTAGTACTTTTGCTGTGGGTGTGGGGCAGAGCATGGAGAACACAGGCATGGCAGACAACATGTCCTTATCCTTGCACAATTCCATAGGCGCCTCATCCTCAGATGTGTCTGCAAGCTGTGGCTTTGACGATTCCGAAGTGGCCATGAGTGACTATGAAAGCGTTGAGGAGTTCACCAGTCTTCACACTCCGTTTATTGAGACTCAGCAGCAGACCCAGGTGTAAAGGACACACACATCTGGGATGGTTTGTTCATTCTTCATTTAAACATGGAAGGAAATGGGCTGAGTTTCCTCTCTCAGTGGAGAGGGGTCCATTGAATGAGGGGAAAATCTACCATTTTCCACAAATAACTTATTCACAAATGATGTTGTCTCATGCAAACAATTTAAAGTCAAGTTGTGTAAACCATATGTCACAAAATCTGTTACTGTGAGTCAATAGACAATCCTTACAGTACGTACCCAGCATTCATGGCCAAGAGTGCACACCACGTTTTTAAGGGGGTAAAGAACCCCACACACAAGTTCACCCAGTAAGTTATATGCAGTCAATCTTTTCAGCTTTGTGCAGTATTGTGTTATTGAAGGTGTTAACAGTATCATTCCCCGCAGTATTAATGAACAGATAAAGTTCAGGCACCAAGATACTGGTGCATGAAACTAATTTAAGCTGATGGAGAAAAGAAAGAAAATAGTTAATAGAATGGGGGATGGGGCTAAGCCCTCAAAGGTTTCAAAAGAAGAAAGAACAAAAATAAAATCAGTCAAAAGTGGGCAAAAATACTAAAATAAAGTATGATTTTTCTTTATAAAGCTGTCTAATTGTCAGCTATAAAATTATAATAAGTGACTTGTATTTTTTGTGGTTTTCAGATACTGGTTTAATTAGGAAAACTTGGATTAAAAATGGAGCCCAAAATTGAAATGATGGGTTTGTGGATCTTTCAAAAAGATTTCAATGAAGAGTAATGCATGACAGTTTGGGGGTTTTCTGAGTATCAGGGAGGGAAGGGTAGAAGTTATCTATTTTTGCTTTTATTACTAAACATTCCCAGCAGTGATTACAATTTGAGAATTATTGTAATCATTGACCTTGTTCATGGAAACCAGGAAATAAAGCTGACCGGTTTGTGACTGTTGTCTGGGCTAAAAGAGGTATACAGTTCATAACTTTCCCCAAAAAATGTTATTTTTACTATCACAGGTAAAAGGCAAGTAAGTACTGTTTTTAACTTGGTGGTATCATTTCAATAAATGGAATTCAGTCAAAGAAGAGAGACTAGATGAGTAGATGTTTGTACACAAGATTATAATAGTATGTGTGTTTGGGCCAATATAGATGTATGTATGTGTTTTCTCCCAAGAAGGCAGTCTGTGAGGAAAGTGATTTTGAGACTTGTGGACTATGAACCATGGCCAACAGTTTGAGCCTTAGGACCTTTTGGACCTCTTCAATGTTAGAGACCCACTAAATGCTATATTTTGTGCTATGTCAGTTAATCTCATTTGGATAGCGCCATGTCTATTAACAAAACAAAATTCTAGGTTTTAAAAGTAGCATTTTGTTTAAAAAAAATACAAAGAGTCTCGGTTGTCTTCAGAAAGTACTTTGTGTTTCATTCTAGCCCAGGGTCAATTCTCAGTCTGATGCATGGGTTTTGGCCATGGAAATTTCTTAAATGAATTGGAGAGTCATTCCACAAGAGATGTTATAACATGGCACGATAAAATATAAAATGGACATGTTGAGTTACTTTCCTGCTTCCCCTCAGGTTGATTAGGGCAAATGAGATTTTACACTAAGCAGCCTGAACTGTTTCCAAGGAGGACTGGGAAGTCCATGACTTCTTCTTTCCCTGGTAAACATTTATTTGCACTATCTGCTTAATGAGCAAAACTGTTGTGGGTTTTGTTTTGTTTTTTAACCAGTTATGGCATTGGTGTATAAGCTCTAGAGACTTCATCTGGCCATGGTCCACCTGGTCACTTTTGTTATCTGCATTCTTTCCATTCATTTCACTTCTCCCCTGGCACAGGGATCAGTGTTTCCTGACAGTTTGTCAAGGCAATAACCTTGCACTTCAGAGCTTCCTGGATATATGGACACACTTCATAGGCTTTTCATGTTTTATGTTGTTTTTTTCTCATCCTTGTTCTTGGTCAGACATGCTAAATGAAGGATAATCTGTACCATGATCTTGAAATCAGGGTTCTTCGATGGATTGAAGTATATAGCCAGACCGCATTCAAAGAAATTCTTAAGCATTTTTCTCATGCAAGGAGTGCATTTGTAGGAATCAGCGAGAAAATGACAAACTAATGATCTAGATAGAACCTCTATAACCGTCTTAATAATGCAGTGGCATAAAAAACTGACAAAGTAAAACCAACAGTTCATTTCTTACCCCCCAGGATATATTAGGGCAGGATTAGTACAGATGATTTTCCATTGCTTACACAGCCTCTCTGCTGAGAGAAATGCTTGACTGACATAGTAATGAAGGAGCAAATAGATCTGTATGTGGCAGTGCAATCCAGGGAGCTGGCCTGATATCTCTGATCTGCATTCAATACACATTTCTTAGATGGATCTCACCCCATCTTTTCAGAAAAGCCGCAAAGGGAGAGATGTTCATCTGGTAAGTCGTATCTCATGACATGTATTGAAACATTATTTGACATTTCTTCTCAAAGTTGCGTGGAAAATGAAGGGTTTCCCTATAGAGGGTGAAATGGTCTGAAAGTAGCACCAAGCTGGAACTCACCAAATCTGGAAAGCCGAGAGGAAATTTAAAGATTCTCATTTTTTTACTTACAAAGTCACATTGCTTGGCCAGTTAGCGACAGAGCCAGGACTACAACTTGCATCTTCTTCCAAGCTTCCAATCCAGGGTTCTTTCCACCATATCATACTTTCTCCATGATCTCCCTGACCTTTAATCTTGATTTTTTTCATTGAATTCCTGAAAAATGGATCTCTTGGTTCAGAAAGCTGAATTTGTTGCACAGAGGTTTATATTTTCATATGAGGTTTTTTCTTCAAGCTTAAATTTGTAAGTTTAGATGAACTCTGGTCTGGTACATGTCTGATTGTTACTGATGCTGCCTCAGTTAAGTGTTGAAAATGTATTATTAGTTGTTCTTACACCCTGAGACTCTAATATCTCAAGTTTATTTTATTTGCTAGGACACATCCAAAGCATAATTTTGGGGAAAAGGATTAGAAACATTGGCATGACCATAATGGAACCACTGGCTGCAGTTGTTGGCTTCATTGACGCCCAAGTATGCCCTGTTCCATACATTTACTGGCTCGTCAAATTTCAGAATTTCCCTGGGCCATTTTTTTTCTCTTCTCTCTTTATATCTTGAGTGCATTCTGTGCACCATGTAAAAATGGCATGTATCCAGAATTTTTTCCACCTAACTTTACTTAATATACCTCCACACATTCCTTTCTCTAAGCCTTTCCCTTTCTAAAGTAAGATAGGCCAAGTCTTTGTCTTCATTCTTGTTTAAAAAAAAAAAAAGCTTCTAATACTTTCACTGTTGCTATCCTCTGGACCTTCCCTAACTTGCTTATGACACTTTGAAATGCACTTCACAGAACTGAGCACAAGGTATGTGATAAAACATGCCAAATAGTAGGTCCATGATTTCCCCACTTAGAAGTACCTCATCCTTTTGAATAGCATCTTTGATTTTCCCCTGAGAGAGCAGATCAAATTCAAAACCCCAAAGCATGTGAGGAAAGTTTACCCTTCTGAGGGCTTACTATCTCATTCTGGTCTTAACTGAACTTTGCAGAAGATTCTGGCAGCCTGGTTCACAAAGCCCTTCTATTTTTTCCCATCATATGCCTACTTTGAGAAGAAGGCAAAGAGGGTCTGCAACACCAAGATAATCTCTTTGCCGAGCATGAAGACCTGGTCTTCTATAGGCTCTTTGGACAAGTAGATAGAGACCTCACAGGCTAGAATCATTGTTAGTTTACTCTCTTAGGTGAATGGAGCTGTCCTAAAATGGGCAATGATTATACATATGAACAGATCAGTTTGAGATCTGGTTGGAACTTGGGATGGGAATTTTTTTTCTGTTTTTCTTCAATATTAATGGGGTTTTTTTTTTCAGAATGTTCCACGTGGGGGAAATTTCTAAGCAGCCTTTGCATTTGCTCCCCACCTTTCCATATCTCGCTTGGCCATCATTTCTCATAAATTCCATAGGTAGGCACTTGGCCTACTTTTGCACATGACCAAGCTGAAGAATGGTTTGAGTGAATGTTTGGGCTTAAGCTGCTATAAAGAGCAGAAACCATGGGGCAATAGGGGATGAACAAGGACCAGCATAAGATGACCAAGGAGGCATTTTCTTTTTTCTCTTTCCTTTGAGTGTATATGCTGCTACTGGGCCCTGCCAACCTTCTGTATGTGCAAAGTCCTGGCTGTCCATGTGATGCCATTGGGAGGCCCAGTAAGATGGACCAGTCTATCCCTATAATGGGCCTGTGTATACTTACAAATCCAGCAGAGAATGAGTGTGACAGCCAGAAAGGGGATTTCACAATGCATCCTTGAGGCAATGTAAATCAGCAGGCTAGCCCCAACTGAGGAGGAAAATTTTTTAAATATAAAAATCATGGACACTCACTGATACTGCATCTACATGTTTCAAGTTGAGGCAGCAAATTATCTGATTCCACCCCCCCAAAAGAAAACAAGCTTTTAACTGATGGTTTTAGATGTATTCATTTTTGGAGGGTTTTCCCAATAAGTCTTTACTTCTCCACTTCATTTTGTTGATATCCATACAATTTCAATGCATATTAATTGGCCAAGTGGTTTGACTTTTAGAATTGCTATTACATATTTAATTATGAGTCCTGCTAAAGTATCACTTGAGAATAATTCAAGATCACCATGATCATTCTCCACATCCTCATAGGAGGTAGCCTCAGACTTTGACTGGTTTGGGTCTCAAATATCTATCTATACTAATCAGATAGGAAGCCTCTGAGTTGTCTTTTGCTTCTGCTTTCTGCCTGTTTGCTCATTTGGGGGGTTGGGGGAGGGACATGGGGGAATGAGTCCGAGGTTTCAAGTCATCTTTAGTGGGTGGGGCATTCGTTAATGTTTCACCAGCTGGCTGGGAGAGATGGGAAAAGGAAACCAATTCCTTTTTTTTCTGTAATAATGAAAAGCAATAATTGTGTAATGCTACACAAAGGCCATACATAACTAGTCTTTACCAGTGTTAAGGATGCACTAGAACTGTATTGTTTATTAGAGCAAGGTGGGAATAGTTCATATGTACTGTAGTATTCTTCTAAGCAAGCAAATACCAGAATTGCTACTATTTAACAATTTAATGAGCCCATACTACTGCATTTGGGGAAGGACAGACGTGTTTGGAACATTGAAGCAGTTCTCTTTAAGCACTGTATTAGAAAGATTGTCTTGTAAATTTTACCTGTTACAAACAGGCTGGTTTGTAAAAGATGTATGTTTTGGTGTTTAAAAATGTTTATAAAAATGTATATAATGGTTTCAAATTTCCAGGCTTTTGTAGATACTGTATTTGATGCCTATCAGGATGCTTTAATTTGGGGGTCAGATTCTAAATCATCTGAGTTGTCAGTCTATAAACTTTTAAGATAATGAGAAAAAAAGTTTTAGATTTGAAAATGATGCTTTTTAATCATTTCCAAAATGTACTGTAACTTTTCTTTGGTTTCGCTGTTTTCATTTAACTTTTTTCAGTTTTTAAGAAAATGTTTTTTATTGACTTTTTTTTAAATGAATGTGTTTTGCACAGATACTAGGTACATGATTTTTATGCCATTTCAAGTATGTATTAAAGTATGTCATTTCTTCACATACACATTATCTCTCATACACACAACCTTATGCAAAAGGGAAAGCTAACACTCTTAAGTGGGTCTTGTCCCTTGTATGAAGATAAATTGTTCCTTCATATATTGCTGTTGGCAGTATTAAGTCTTGTGTTCTTTTCCTAAAAAATGAAAAAAAAAAAAAAGCAACAACTACAAAAAAAAATAGCCCAACAGTGTACAGGTTTGTAACTGCCAAAATTTGATGGTTAAAAACAAGTTTTCAAGTAAAAAAAAGACTTTGTGTTGACTTTTTCTTTCTGATTTGCTGTCTTTTCACTTGCCTCATGCTCACAGCTCATAAGGGAGCCATTCACATTTTGCAGGGAATTGTGGGAAATGTGAGGTTTAAATGGGCAGTCCCACAATGCCATCTGGAGTCATTGAGGCTTTCACCTATAGTCTCTCTCCTCATCATGTGAACCCTCTCGCTTGGAAAATTGCTTACATTTGGATGTTTGAATTAATTTATTTCGAGTGTCTCCTTGGACACTTAACCCAAGGTTTTTGGTTGTTAATGGTATGGAGCTGAATAAATGAAAGCCATCAAGTCTCATGGCTATATAGACCTCCTGTCCTTCCCAGATACACCATATACCACCATTTAATGCAGAAGAGAAAGGAAAGCTGTTGGTCTTAAAAATCACTGGGTCAGCCTTGAAGACTCCACTCTTCTCCTCTGACATATGTATATAATTTCAGGTTAGGAGACAGGTATGAAGTCTAAGGAAGGCAAAACACAACCTAGGGATATGGGAAGATTGGTGAAGAGGTCTAAGTTTCTGCTTCCGTGACACTGGGAGAAAGTTGGCCATTACATATGTGTGTGTGTATGTGTCTGTGTGTGTGTGTGTGTGTGTGTGTATATATATATGTATCCAAGATTCCTGACTTTTTAGCACAACATCACCCATCTGTCTCATTGCCCAGAAGCATGCAACCCAGGACTCCATCTATCCCCTCTCCTCTTCCCCAGGTTAAAGATCCCAGGGTGTTGACCCTGATTTGCTATACTACTTCTATATAATGCTGGCTCCAAAACTGCTTTTTGACTCAAAGACTTGATCAATGAGGGCTCACCTCCCCCAAATGAATTCCTATTGACCTAATGACTCTTTCCTCAGTGTGGTCAGTTCAGAAAAGATAATGGATGGTAGGATTTAAGAGGAACAATTATTGGGAGCCCTAAAAGTCCCACATCTCTCTTCCTACAGTCACATAACATGGCAATGCAAAAAGGTAGGTTTGGGGGAGGGGTTTTTTTTTTGTTTTTTTTTAATGAAGCCATTTCCAAAAGCTCCTCAGTAGGCCAAAGGGTGTGCTATGTGTTATCTGCTGTTATTTGGTTATATAAACAGAGTGTGAATCAAAACTCCAGGCAACCATTTGTGTGCAGGTCGGAGTTTACAGATCCTATCCCATAGAAGAAATGGAATGAGCACATATCTATCCCAGTAGAGCTGAACTTTAGAAACTGAGGTTGAGCCCAAGGATTACAAATAATGGTGAAAGGAAGAAAAGGCAAGGGACCCATCTCTAAAAGTTGGAAAGGATATATGAAATGGAGACTGATGGGGAGAAAAAGTTATTGGCCTCCATGCTCAGAAATCATCCTATGGAGAGACTGCGGTTCTACCCCTGACCATAGCAACAAATGAAAGATGAGGAGGGAGTTTGGAGCAGCAGAGTTTTGTGCTGCTTAGTTGGTTTCAAACAAAGAGCAGGGAAGGAGGGGAAAAGTGGAGAGGGGTGAGAAGAGATCAGAAGAAATAACAAATCAAGTCCGAGACTCCAGCAAGAGGAGTAGTGCTCATTGCCACATTTTCCAACCCAACCAACAGAGGACTGAGGACTGAGAACAAGCGTCAGTCTGGCAGGTTCTCGACATAATCATCATAATTTCTCCCCCAGGGCAGATTAGGGAAACCAAAATTTTGCTATATCCTGTTACTACCAGGATATGTAAATTGCACTTATCTCAGGGGTTCCTAATTATAATTTATCCTATTCTGAAAACAGTTTGGAGAGAGTGTAGGACTAGGAGGGGGAAAACTGGTTCAAGCCCTTTCCCTGACGTTTAGTTGCTGTGTGCCCTTGAGTAAGTCACTTAACCTCAAGAACATCAGCTTTCTTTTTAATATAATGAGGATAGGCCTCAGGAGAGTGTTGAACTTGGGGTCAGGAAGACCTGAGTTCAAATTCTGCCTCAGACTCACTAGCTGTATGACCTGGGTATGTCACTTAACCTCTGTCTGCCTCTGTCTCTTTATCTACAAAATGGGGATGATAATAATAGCATCCAAGGTTGTGAAGATAAAGAGATGATATTTGTATAGCACTATATAAATGATAACCATTATTATCACTATTTGAGGGTAACAACAGTGTTTTGTTTGGATTTTTTTTTTTGCTTTTCTTTGCATTCCTAGTACTTAGCATAGGGTCCAGCATACAGTAAGAAATTAATGAATGCTTATTGACTTATTTATTATCATTATTATTATTAATAGGAGTATCAGCCTGACCAGAGGCCAGGGTAGTCTCAGTTGAGATTCAACCTCTGACAAACACGAACTATATGTGTTTAGTCAAGTCATTTAACTTCTTAGGGAGTTACATAGGCTGGCACTAAGACCATACATTGTTAAGCAAGTGCCAATGTTGAATAGTATTTTTTACCCAAGGGCATTGCTTTTTACTGACTATTTGAGATAAAAGGGCTGCAACAGCTAGTCCCTGACCATCTGAGTCCATATTTCTTGTATGGAACTTTCATCTTGTTTCAACCCCTCACAAATGTAGACCAAAAAAAAAATGTGGACCAAATATGTGGCTGCTTTCTGCTACCCAAGATGCAAAATGAGACTTTCATTCTCAAAAAGAGCCAATGGGGAAAATGGTTTTAGTTGACTATCCATATCTGTTGCAAAGATTTAGTTTTTCTTTTTTATCAACAGAGGAGAGGGATACAGATAAAGAGAGGAGCTAGGGACATGCCTGCTTAAAAAAGGGGGGATAGTCATTGAAACATCTTCATATATATTCATATATATGCTAGGGTATAGGTGACCAGAGGCCTGGCCAGTACTCTTTGTTATTATTATTCTGTTATTACTTAATTTTTTATTTTATTATTGTTATTTAATATTATTTAGCATTTATATAATATTTTCAGGTTTGCAAAACTCTTTACAAATATAAACTCAGTTTATTCTCAAAACCTCTCTGAGAGGTAGGTGCTTTTTTTTTTTTACAAATGAGGAAACTGAAGCTAAGACAGTTAAAATGATTTGCCCAGGGTCACTCATTAGTAAGTCTGAGGCAAGATTTGAACTCAAGTCTTTTTGACTCTGAATCCACCAGTATCCATTATGCCACTTAGCTACCAAAAACAGAAAAGGAAATGAGCTAAAAACTTCCTGACAGTGGAATCCATGTTATTCACTGGAATCCAAAAAGTCCGAGGTTCAAGATCTGGAACTGCAGACACAAGGCTACACGTGAAATTGTGACTGGTCATAGGATTCCATCAAGAAGTAACTGAGTAGAATCTCTGGAGTCTGAATTCTGATGACCAGATGGCAGTGGGTACATTCTAGTCTGTTATAGGTCAGCAAATATTAGGTGACTAACTATTTGCATAGGACTCTGCTAGGCATTGAAACAGACATGAAGTGTAGCTAAAGCCTGGTCCCTCCCTACATGTATGTATAATCTACTGGGGGATAAGACATACACGTAGATATCCCATCTGTGAAGCTTACTGCCTGTGTAACCTCGGGGAACTCACGTCATCACCTCTCTGCAGCTATTTCCTCCCCTCTGAAATGAGAGTTGGAGTGGTTGCTTACCTCAAGCTCCACTAGCCTGTAAAACACATAGTAAGTGCTTTAGAAAGGTATATAGCTAAGTAATCTGTACAGACAGGGGCACTGCATGCATTCTGATTTGAAGACTGTCTCAGGGTGGGCAAAGAAGAGGGATAGACTGAGAAATAAAGGCAACAGGAAAACAACAGAGAGCAGTACTTGTGTTTTTAAAGCAGCTGCTTCAGAGTTAAATAGGAAGCAATCTAAATATAATTAACCATCTTATTCGGAAGTTGTGTCTAATCAATAAAATTACAGGAGCATTTGATCTTCTTAAGTTCTTAAAGATGGTCCAAGATCTATTCTGAAGAAGGCATATTAATTACTTAAGGCCACAGGGTTCCTATTTGGTTTGAGATGGGGGAGGATGGGGAGAGATAGATGGTGCCCAAGTGCCTGGCACCCACTAGTGCTGAAAGAATGAATGTCTCGAAAATCATTACAGCCAAACTACGTTAGTAGTTAAACCTGGGGTGCCTTAATGGTGTGTCTGTAAGATTCATATTCTGAGCTCTTTTGGAGTAATATCCAGCTATGGGAGATTTCGAGGGAAGCCATTTTCTGGTGAAAAGAAAGCTAAATTTAGTCAATTTTAGTCCTGCTTCTTGGTCTAATACTTTGAGGAAACAATCGTGCCTACATCCAGAAAGGGCTTCACTTAACTGGGTCACAAAGGGACTTGGTGACAAGCAGAAGAAGTTCATCATTCAGGCAAACTAAAACTGGGGCACACATAGGGACTAGTCAAAATCAACTGAGAATAATATGGTTAGAGAGACCAGAGGCCCTGCAGCTCCAGGGACTAAAAAGAAATGCAGTCGGGTGAGTTAATGAGAATAGAAAAGGATTTAGGATGGGCTCTCCAGCTATAAGCACAAAATGACTTTTTCATGTCTCAGAGAATATAATTAATTAAGAATTCAAAATACAAAGTAATTATAGAAACCCTAACCTGAAGGCATGTTGCTGAATTACTATGAACATTTTTAACAACAAGAAAATTGAATTTCCTGGTTGCGCGGAACCAATTTTAAATTTGGATAATGTGACGGGCAATATTAATATACCACATTCAGCAAATTAAATGTTCTTTTCCATTCCTATTTCTATAAAAAAAATGCCAATCGTGCAACTGAGTTTGAATTATATTAATTGGTACAGTGATTGTCAGAACTGAATATTCCAGGCATTTAACACTTGATGTTAATGTAGCAAATTGCAATTGAATCTAGTAACTTTCAAGTTACTAACATTTACTCGGTGCCTAATTACTTTGGCAGAAGTGGGGGAGATTTTGCAAGCTTTTATATATTCCTTGGTGTTATTTTATTCAGTATATGGGGAGAGAGGGTGGGTAAATCTCTCCTACACATAGAAAAGTTGATCCTAGGTTACTGAAAAATT